AATTTTAGAAAAAAGCTACTTACAAAACCTTTAATAATTGAATCATGGGTACTATACATGATTCAATAATGAAAGGTTTTGTAAGAAAAACTTTCTCTCGCTCTAATTTTATCAATGACACTCCCACCCTACTCCTAAAAACAAAAACAGTAATGTTTCTTTTCCAAATTTACAAGTTTTAAGAATATTTGTAAATTGTTAATAGTGGTTTTTTTACTTTTTAAATTTGAAGAAATGTTTGTTCTGCATTCGCTGGCGCCAACAAGACAAAATGGGTGAGAATTGTTGGACTACAGAAATTCAATATTAAGAGACGAAATTCCCTTAAATGCCGAAATGTATTTGTCGATATTCGTGGAGACCTCTTGATTCTGCCAAGTCGCTGTAAAGTAAAGCGTTCAATGGCTTTGGTAAATGAGCCAACGAAGGTATTTAGGTATTGTACTCCACGACACAATCCTGGTGTCTCCGAATGAGATTTTGACGCAATATAACAATGCCAAACCGCATCCATAGGCCCAATCGTCACACGACAGCTCGGTTTAGTCAATGGTGCGATGTAATTGCACACTTAATAGGTGTACGCTCGAGGCGACTGTTGGCTGGCGACCAACTTTGTTGAAAGCGATTAGCTGAAAGTAGAATGCAAAGTTGAACAATACAAACGCCTTTTTATGGCGAATATTTTGATATTTTTAGTCATTCAATTTTTTTTTTTCGTGCAACCCGGCGGGAGTTGAACGCAAAAGTTGCCTGGAAAGTCGCCTCGGGCGAAAGCCTCATTACGCCACTTCTCATTTGACGATGTAGATCACGTTCCCTATCTCAGTCGTTCAGTAGCTGCGTGTTCTTTTTATTCTTCCTGAGTTCGTCCGGCACCAATCGCCAATTGCGGCTGTGCAAGCTAGTGTTGAATATTTTAACCAGAACATAAAAAGTGTGACATCAAAGAATTCGAAACAATCGAGCCATAACCGCGAAAGAAACTTCAAATTTTTGTATTTGCCGTTTTTTTGTTTAATAAATATTGCATATTTTCCGCAAACAAATAGCTTCTTCATATCCATCAACTGGCAAACAAATACAACAAAAAAAAAGCTGAAAGTGGACCATCCATTCTCGAGTTATGCGCCATCTGACGTACGCAAGTATAAACATAGAAATATTTATTTTTAATAACAATCAGGGGTTATATTCGATGTAAATAAGATTGTTTAAACTAAATAATTAAATCAAATTCGGTTTTGTTTTAAAATACCACCATTCACTATTATCCACACGTTTGTATGGATTTTAGCTCCCATTTTAGGAAGTGTGATGGAATTCTTCCCCTTTTTCTTCTGCTTCCAAAAACCATCCCTGTGGGTGGGAGTGCCAAAGTTTAGAAAAAAGCTACTTACAAAACCTTTAATAATTGAATCATGGGTACTATACATATTGAACTTTTATTATTAAAAAGCAATGCAAGAAAAGTTTTAAAATTTGACTTTTTTGAGCCGTTTGCATTGATGAAAAAAATATAAAAGTAGACAATGTTATAAAAGCGTGAAAATTCTGCCACCTAAACATCTGGGTCATTCCATTGACGTAGAAATCTGAACCAGAATCGATGATGTGTTTCCACCAAAAAAATTAAAAAAAATGATTTTATTTTTTCGATAAATTTCCTGTAATTGCCCGAAATTAATGTTTTTCACATACACACGTTTGTTGAAACCTTTTTTAAGATGTGTATTATTTAATGTTAGCTAAATTTATAGAATAAAATAGTTGAGATACCATCAGTGGCTGTTTATGAACCTTCCCTTTCCCTTAAAAAAAACTGATCCTAAATCTCCACGCAATAGAGTTCTGTGCGAAAATGCTATGACTACAGAAGCGGGACTTGAACTCACAAAGCAATTTTTTTTAAGCGTGGCCGATAGTCGCCTACGCGGAAGGTAACTTGGCCGGAGTTAGATTGATGCCGAAAGCAGCCAACGCGGAAGAGAGTTCTGCGCGAAAGTACTGTGCTTTAATTTTATCAAAAGAGGCCAAAACGCAAGTAAACACAAAGTTTCGAGCTTCCTAGAGACCCATAGAAAGCCTACGGGTCAGGGTTGCATTATTGTCAATGGCGGTATCACGCCCCGCACCCTCCTCCCATCTCTTTAACCATCGGCTACATGGGGAGTTTCCCCATTGGGAGCACATATTATTAGATTATTGTTCAAAACACGGAACTAAACAAACGTCGTTGATATAAAAATTCTTCATATCGGTGCATAGTGGTCAATAAATGAAATTTAATGTTCATAATTACTGGAGCCTTATTTCTCAACCAATGTAATTATTTTCTTGGGTACTGTTTTCATATTTGTACATCGATTTTGGGGTGCTGTGCTTGTAGACAAGCGTTCACGCTTTATTACAAAAATAAAATTTACTATATCTGTGCACTAATTTATTAATAATGTCGGTTGTAAATATGGAATTTTTTGCAAATTTCCGAACTGAGCTGCCAAAGAAAAAATATCCACGAAATAACTTTGCGAAAGGTGTTCATTCCCGTTTCTTCGGCAAAACAGAAAGGAAAATTCTACTTAGTGAGGGTTATAATCCCTAAGTGCGGCCGAAAGCTGCCCACGCAGAAAGGTGCTCTTTGCATAAGGTATACAGCCCCCCTTCGACAACAGAGGAAGGAGTAGTGAGGGTTATAATCCTTTTGGGAAAAATCCCAGTTTCCCCTATTTTCACACAGCTCCCAAGGGGTCTGTAGGGGGGTGAAAGAGGGGGGGGGGGGGGGCTTTTTTTAACAAAAGCTTATAAGATTTGCCAGAGACTAGTTGAGCCCGATTTTTGATTTTTGATTTGTTTGTGTTAAATTTTTTAGTGCAAAGTGCAGAAAAAGTGGCAATTTTTAGAAGATCGATTCTCCTGTTTGATTTAATAAATTTTACATATAAAAACTAGTTGAAAACAATTGTACGGTTCTCTCAAACGGGGAAAAAAATGATTTGACATACAAAAAAGTTTTCACCAAAATTACTTTTTTTCTTGTTTTTGTTTTTTATAAAAATTTTGGGTATGCAGTTTTATAGATCATCAAATTTTAGGATAATAAAGTGCAAGTTGCAAGTGATCAAGAGTTCGGATGCATGCAGATGTGATCGAAATGTTAACAAACAAATTATTAAACATCAACGCGAACTCTTAGCCCCTACTTTATTATACTAAAATTAAATGATCTATAAAATTGCATACCCAAAATCTGTATAAAAACCAAAAAACCAAAAAAAATGCTTTTGGTGAAATTGTTTTTATAACATACGAATTATTTTTTAAAATATTTACTTCATTAAATTCCATTTATTGACCACTGTGCGATGGTCCTCTGCAATAACCACACAATTTAAATTCATATAATAAACTCCCTTTCTACTGTTAAGTGGCCCATGCTCTAATCCTATCAAATTGGGTTAAAGAAAATTTTGTATAACAATCCTTAAACACAAATGGAACATGTATGTATATTTCTATAGTACTAAGTACGAATTGTAAAAAATAGCTTAAAGCTAAATAAATATACTACCACTAGTACTTGTCTAATCCACGTCTAACTCACTAAATTAAGTAGAAAGGATTACAACATCACAAGGATTGAAAAAGGATTAGAGGCATGAGCCACTTAACAGTAGAAAGTTTTTATTTTTCAAATATTTAATTTTGTCGTTATTGCAGAGGATCATCGATATATTTCAAAAAGTCAAAATGATTTTACTGCTTTCATACGACTTTCCTGCACGCAGTGTCACAAAATTTTTTATAACATTTTTTGGCATATATGTATAAATTTTAATAAAAATCCTTATTTTACATAGAAAATTGACTTTAGTGTAATTTTCCATACAGTGTAACAAAGGCAATAACTTACGTAAAATGTATTTGTACAAATCACTTTTTCGCCATCAGATGCAACCGCAAGAAAAGGCCAAGGAGGCAGTGTCTTCTACAAACATATTACAGGTATTAGTGGAGGCAGCACCTACACAAAATTACGAAGAAACATTCAAAATTTCGACTAAGAAAATAGAGCCTATGGCTCCAAGTTCCCTACCACCGCCAACGCTTGCTGTAGTTGAATATAGATCCGCACTAGAAATGTGCAGCAAAGAACTGAGCGTTGCAGATGCGCGTTCTGCAAGAGTTCAGCGATTAGTGCAGAAATGTATTAAAACAAATTCACCAGTGTATCCCAATGCGATACCCTTGCCACCGCCATCGCATCCATCTCACCACTCAACCGTTAATGTTACTATGCATAGTGACATTTGCATCGGAGGTAAATTAAAAAAATATTCAAAAGCTGACGCACACAGCACCCAACATCAGCACGAGGACGAAGTGCTTTCACTGCAGATGCTACCTGCACGCTCCTCTACACCTCACAACCAACCTATTCTATCTTGTTCTGCTGCCAGTTGCGATTTGGAACTTATCAGTGAACAGGGTAGTCCTTTAAGTGAGACTAACTACGAAAATGCGACATTGGCATTGGACCAGCGGAAAATACCTACACAAACGGAAAGTAGGGCCAACACGCTTTCAATTTCAAAATCAGCACCTGTTATAAGCCAACGCGATGATGTTGCAAATGTTTGTAAATCGAAGTCTATGGAAAGATCTAATTGTTTTCTACACTATAGTCGAGCAAATTTGTTACAAATTCGCAACAGTCTATTAAATGTTTTACAATCGCAACAAAAACAACTCTCCATACGACATAGTGTACCGAATATAGTGGATTGCGATGTAATCGAATTGGAAGGGCGTCTGCGTCGACTTAAGATTTGGAAGTCGACCAGCGGTCAAGAAGAACATGGTGCTGGTCGTAAATACCAATGGATACGTGATAATGCAATGATGCCTTCTTTTACGAAAAATAAAAACATCTTGGATGAGTCAATCATAAAGAGTCAGCCGCCACAGCCAGAATTAAAAGTAAGCTTGTATTATGAAGTATGTATCGTAACGAAATCTATTGTGACTAGTTGATATACTTGATATTTATGTGTGTAGATATGAAATACAATATTTTGGGCGTTACATCTAAAGAGGGAACAAGTTTGAGCTTTTTAGGTCTTTTGGCAAATTGTTTCTTAAACCCCATCATAGGTCTTGTAAATCATCCCTTCTTTGTTAACGAAAATGAATTTTATGCTGTAGTATGTCCGTCCGTAGGTTTAGAAGGGGTTTCCGTTTAATAAACTACTCATAAAAATCAAAGTTAAAATTTACATGTCCATGTAAGAACTTGAAAATACCTGAAACATTTTGGAAAGTCGGTAAGTAAAATACGAAAAACTGAGAATTCCATCAAAATATATTAAGGTCTGGAAAAAACATAGAATATCGCGATTTATCCATTTATGGTATTATTTATTTATTTGTTTGATGTCTAAAGTTGTATATGGTATAGACATTATCAGAAAATTGCGAAGAATGACGTCTAACAAAAGCTATTAACCAAATTTAATTTCTATTCGAGCCAAATTAGAAGTAAAATTAATTTTTTAACCGACTTCCAAAAAAGGCGGAGGATATCAGTTCGTATATTTTTTATTTTATATTTTTTTTTTTTATGTATGTTACCGCATAACTTTGGACCACGTCAACCGATTTCGATAATTCTTTTTGCATCGGAAAGGTAGTGTCTCAGAGGTGGTCCCATACTAATCTGGTTGAGATCCGATCAGTGGATCATGAGATATATATATATTTTTTATATGGGAGTTGAAGTCGGTTTTTTTTTGCTAAAAATTACTTGTTTACATTTCTAAACTACTCCAACAACTTCAACAAGGATGGATACCGTCCTTTCTACTGTCCAAATACACACGGTTTTAAAACCTAAATTTTTTCCCGCCTTCGCCTAGTACACACAGCAAAGGCCCACGAATATATCTTAAAATTTTATAGTTTAAAAAACTAAAAACTCGCTTTTATAATTTCCATTCGCACTGTCTTCAGGTATGTATAATGTGACCAACTATTTCAAAGCTCAAAGAAGTACAGGTTAGGTTAAAGTGGTTGGCACTTGGACAATTAAGAGATTGGGCTTTGTGATACCACGAAAAAAACTGAAAGGAGAGGGAGAGGACGCGAGCCTGCGCTGCAAAAAGTATTTTAAAGTGCGCTGTAAATACATTTGCTGTAGCAGAGAAAAGTCTTTTCCCTTTTTATATCACAGTAGGAGCATAGCTTTCTTTTGTCCCTTTTATTAGTCTACCTAGAGAGTTTCCGACAGAAGAAACCTCCACATACCCTGTCTCCAAATTTTGATCCGTCCGTGAAGAAGCTTACCGCTCACCTCTCCGAGTAACCCGCACCCGGTGGGCCTCTCTTGGTGGTATATAAGTAAAGAAGGAGCTTCTGAGTGCCATTTCGAAGCCGCTGTAGTCTATGTGTACAGGGCGAAGTCAAAGCCCTCCCAGAACTCCAGAGTGTTACCACCCGGTTTCCCTGAGCCTAATAGCAGTTTGTGCTGTGACAATTCTTTCTGCCATATCCGCTGGCGCCGTGTTCAACATGACGTTAAGTGTCAGTGTAGGTGTGGTTCCTTATTCTCCACTAATTCCGATTAGGGCGATCTGCTTTAAACGCTCCAGTTGCTTTACAAGTGTAGCCTTCTCTAGCGAGTTCCACAACAAGATAGGCTTAGATCCGGTTTTATAGAGCTAGTGAATTATCACCTTTTACTGATAGCTACCCTATAGCAGTACAAGGCAACCGAATCCTTTCTTACCCTTTCCTCAATGTTAGGCTTCCACGACAGCTTCCTATAAAGGATCAAGCCCATTCGAGGGAAGGGCCATAACGAGCATATTGTACTTTCTGTTAAACAAGACCAGTTCCGACTTGCTGGAATTTACTGCGAGCCCGCCGATGATCACCCACTTAATTACCTTCACCTAAAGTTTCACATCATCTACATAGGCGACCACCTGACAGCCCACTTTTTCCAGTTCCTCCAGAAGGTCGCAATCCAGAGCAGGGGAGAGAGCACCACCTTGCGGAGTACCCCAATTGACTCTGCGCTGAGGGCAGGCGCTCCTCCACTACGCCGCGACAGTTCTGTCATGAAGTATTGCCTTTGGAGTGACATTGTGGAATGTCCTCTCGATATGGAGAAAGGCCCCTACTGCATAATCTTCATGCGTGAAGGCTTCCTCTTACCACTTTTCCTTGCAATAAGCATGTTGAGTTCTTGTCAGGTAGTCACGAGCAATCGCGTTTCTTATGTACTACAGGTCTATCAGCCTCTCTAGTGTTTTTAGCTAAAACGAACACAGACTGATAGGCCTAAAATCCCTAGGGGAATCATGAGAGCCTTTTCCGACTTTCGGGATGAACGCAGCAACTGACTACCCTCCAAGACTTAGGGATATACCCGGTCCTCACTCAGTTCGCAGGAATAGGAGCCAACCAACTGCAGGACACCTACAGAACCCTTTGCAGCTGCGCAGGTATGATGCCACCAGTCCTCGGCGACTTGAAGGGTTTGAACGAATACAACGCCCAGGACCTGTGATGATCGTCCAGAAGATCGGAGAAGTACAGGATCTGAAATACAAAATTTGCAAAGAAGTACATTTGACTGTACTGCGAAGTATGAAGTACAAGAGCTAAAAATACTTCCGAAAGAAGTACGGTTGGTCATATTAGGTATGTAACTTGAGAATGGAAATCGCTGCATCAATATTACATAGTTACATCCCAGGCTAATAAAAGCGAGGTAATAAAAAGAAAATCATCCAAATTGCACTAGCTGTAGCACAAACCAGACATTGTTGCATACCGTTTTTGCAAAACCGCCGCCTCTCTTACGGCACTCAAATCTTACAGGAGAGCGAAAAAACAGTTTTTCTTTGAAGGCATTGCCTCGATAGGCGACATTATCTCTAGCTTTATTTTACAAATCTGTTGTTTTAATAACGAATTTTATGCATAAATTTCGTTGCCCGAAGTTCGGGGTTACCAAACTCATTTTTGCCACAACGGCGATTTAGGTGGTTTTGCAAAAACATCGACGATATGTTTTCCGAAAACTTTTGTTAACATCTAAAAGGAACATTGCTCTTTTCGAGAACCATTTTTTGGATAAATTCCTGAAGTTAAAATTGGTATGCTCGATCTTTTATTATTAACCGACTTCAAAAAAGGGGGTTGGTTGGTTATCAGTTCGTCGGAATATTTTTATTTTTTTAATCTCTGCTGTATCTATAGGGGTACTCTCTGAGTCTTGCAAAGCCCTTGCACGGTGCACGGCTTGCACGGTTTTCAAAGCTGTCCCATACGAAAACCGGTTTTTACCGTGCAATCCGTGCAATATGTGCACCATGCAAGGCCTTTGCAAGACTCAGAGAATACCCCTTATGTTTAGTTATTACAATCAAGCCTATTTCGTTTATCTAATTACATTTCTTTTACTTATTTTTGTTTATATTTAGGAATCCGCTATTATAACAAACCAACGTCGTATTGGCAGCGGTAGATTACCCAAAGTAAAATGGGCTAATTCAGTTGCTTCGGAAAATTCGCAATCCATTATTGAAAAAGATGGTGCAATTAAACAACCAACAAATAATGATATTTCAAGTAAGCTCAGGCTTCTCAAACTCTTTGAGACAAGTAAGGTTGATAATATGCGCAACAAGGATACTTCGTTTAGACCCGCGCTAACTGCTTTGGCAGCTTTGGCCAAAAACTCTGAACGACCGGAAACGCCAGCAAACACTTCCAATACTAATTATGTTAAACGATTAAATTCAGGCTTCCTTGTGGTTTCGAATCCAAGGGATCGGTCTAAAGCAGATAAAGAGCATTATCGTTACAATAATCACAACGAGGAACCTGAATGGTTTAGTTGTGGACCAACATCACGCTTGGATACAATTGAGCTATGTGGCTTTGATGATGATGAAGATCCGAATGGAAAGAAAAACGATGATAATCACAGCGACATATCAAACGATAAAGATGACTCTTCGGAGAATCGTAAAGAAAATGCAAATGTGATGGATAAGACAACCAATGTTGATAAAGAAAATACTAAATGCCTGCAAGAGTTTGTATCTTCGCTAAAGGAACAGAAATCAACATCCTTTCAGTATGATAACTTCTCAGGAGGCGCTACAAAACATAACCACCCACAACAGCGCCAACACGGCAGTGGCACTGAGAACAATGGAAATCAAAACGACAACGGTCGCTCCAGATTCATACCATTTTTTGCGGTGGATGGCAAAAAGAGTCAACAGCATATTGATAAAAATGGTTCATCCACATCGTTGGATGATTTTATCAAACAAGCCTTGAATGCACAACAACCAAGTACTGATCAACATCAACAACAAAAAACTGTATTGAATTCAAATGCTAATCCGAATTCGGGTGGGATCCGAATTCGGGTGGACGAGTTAGAAGCCAAATGGCGTCATAATTCCTTAACTGAGCGCCCCCAAAACAACAATAATGTGAACATTGAAAATAAAAACATTAAGTACAAACCTTTTATTCAAAAAAACAGTCATGAAAACATACAAGATTCAAATAATAATTTGTTACGAAACTCGGAAAATTTCAAGCAATTGTTGGGCCAATTGCAAAATAACAATAACAATAATAGCAACAAAATTGTACAAAAAGAGGAATCAACAACGTCACACACGTCGAAGATAACTGGCAAAGGCGATGGAAAAAATATTGCGATAACTCAGCAGCAATCGCAAAATCAATTTTGCAATGAAAATATTTCAAATTTTATACTTAAACAGCAGCAATATCAACAACAACTTTTCCTAGCGAATTTGCATATGAAAGCTATTTTGAGTCGTCCTGAAGCGCAATACCTTCTACTTGGACTAGCCAAGGGTGAGTAATTAAATTAAAAATATTTTCGATTCGTTTAAATTAAAGGCCAAATAAAATGATAAATCTGGTATAATAATAGTTGCGGTTCCCTTTGAGTCAGAACGTACAGTTTTTTTTACCACATTTTACTTCAAAGTGATCCCGTATTCGAAAAGCTGGCAAAAGGTTATGCAATTGAGAAAGCAAAGGAGACACACTCCTTGTCAGAACCCAAAGCTAGGTACTAATAGCGAACAAATCCGTCTGCTTTGTTCGTGTTCGATGTCAAATTACTCGTTAGTGGCGTGGTGCGCGAACAAATCAGACGGATTTGATAATTTTCAAACTCTTCTGATTTGTTCGACCGTTAGTAGCACAGTTCGCGAACATTAACCCATGTCGTCTTATCAGTTTACTTTTAACCCATTTCGTCGTATCAGGGTATTTTGAACCATTGAAGTCAGCACATCGCGGGACATTGCAAGTAACCGATTTTTAGACGATTTGTTTTTCTGAAATTTTGAAGGGAGAAGTTTCGATTGGCAAATCATGGAAAAAACTGCTAGAGAAGTAGAGGGAAATAGACAAAGCTGCCATGTCAGAAACCGTAAAAAACAGGGCACACGAGCATGCTACAGGCGGGAATAGCGAAAAATTCGGAAAAGTGAGAAATCTGGAGCAGGCTCTTGAAGATGACTTTGTGCCCACGTTGTGGTACTTTGAAAATTTAGAATTCTTAGGGGGACCAAGAGTTGAAGCTTGAGGGCTAAGTGTAGTTTTGCATTTTAAATATTGTTTTTTTTTCTGTTCAGTTAACACTAGTAAATTATTGTTAGCATTTTAAGCTTTAAATGTACACAGTTATTGCACCCTTTGCTATTGTTAATACTTCATTTTCGCATTGTTAGGCTGTTTCTTACGCCTACATCTACTTACATGTGTATATACGAATCTATATACTTATTTTCGCTTATTCTTAAGGCCATGTTGACAACAGCCGTTTCGTGAGCTAATCTACTCTTTTTGCCAGACTGCCAGGCCACTTGCTCACTTTGGTGAATTCCACTATGTGTTTTCCTCAATTTCCAACGTCAGCGCCACCTATGGTTGTAGATTTCCTTGGGCAATTCCCTTTAGGGAGGTTTATAAGATGCTTGTATCTCTGTAGATTGTACTCTTCAAACAGCTTTTGGCTTGACCAAGTTCTATGGGGCTTTACCAGTAATGTTCTCTCACCCCTTGTATCTCTTCTTATCAGTGGACCTCCGCTTGAAAAATGCTCTGGAATTTTCCCATAGACACAGATGGTCGCACTGTGGTGCGAAATGGCAACGTTACGAACAAAATTGTAGTGTTGACCTATCGCCACTATGGGTTGCAAATGTCAAAGCCTTAACTAATATACTTTTTATTGAATGAGTGCCAGCTGAAATACATAGTATCGCAATTTTGTCGCAATAAAGTTTTCATACAAAAGTAAATAGCTGAGCATCTCATTTCTGTATCGATTTTTTTACGAATCTTCAAAGAAAATTATATGAAGTGGTTGACACGAACTCGTAAAGAAATTTGTGTGCGAAAAATAAAATTCTGAATAAATTCTGCCAGAAATTCATCACATAGCAGCATTATTGCTTTACCAATTTTCTTCCGAAATTTTGTAAAAGAATCGAAGGTGTGCACAGTTTAGATTATTTCATTTTAGAAAATTAGGGAAAAAATTGGTTGAGATCTTAACGAATTCTTTGAAATTTCTCTACAATTCAGAATACTCTGAAAAATTGGATTGCAGGGTATATTGAAATACTCGGTTATATGCATAAATAAATAGTAAATTATTATCATTTAATATAGTAACAAATTGAGATTTCATTTATTATATAAATAAATCTGCAACAAAATCCAAAACCTGTAAAGTGGTCCATAAAAGAATTTTAAAATGCAAATTTTTCGGTGCTTGTAAGCGGGAATTGCCTATTAACCGATGCTTAGACCCCTTTCAGACACGTCAAGTCTTGCTTTCGAGCCTGCTCGGTTCGTTGGTGAAGGAAGTGAGAAGAGAGGGGAAGAGTACATTCGTCTGATTTATTATGTACATTTTAATCGAGGATATTTCCTTAATATTTTCCTAGAGCTTATGATCGGGAAATGCTTATAACCGGGGTGCTTATAAGCAATAAATACTCATTTATCAAATTGGCGATTATATTTTATTTTACTAAATTATTATTTTTTTGTTAATTTCAGGTGAGATTTCCAAGCATGGTTTGTTAGTTCAACTCTCCAATCCACGTTTGCCACAGCGTGACCGCGAGGCTATCACAGCAGTACTAACATTCACCTCTACCCAACAGACGCATGCTTTGCAAACGCAATTTTCTCATACTCAGCTTCAGCATCAGCAATCTCAACAGCAACACTCCTTCGATTCATTCTCCAATAGTTTAGTTCTGAATCAGTTGCAAAATCTGCATAATTTGGCATTAGTTCAACAAACTTTGGCAGCGCAACAGCAGCAGCAGCAGCAACAACAACAACACCAACAGCAACAACAAAGTCAAAACACCATTCGCAATCCGTACTCAATACAACCTATGACAACCGAAGAATTACAGAATCATACCAAAATGATAATGCAAAATGCATTGGCAAAGCGAAAACTCGAAGAACAACAATCGAATATTTTGGGCATGCAAAAAATTTTACAATTCAATGCAGTGGCTACGGCAGCTGCTGCCGCAGCTACGGCTACCGCAAACATGCAGCAACAGCAACAGCAATCGCAGTCACTGCAACACAATCAAAGTCGCTTAAGTGGTGCTGGTATGTCAGCACTAATAACAAACTCTACCGGCAATCACGGTAGTCATATGAATCGTACAACAGCAGTGGGTAATGGTAATAGAAGATTGCAAGCATTACAAAATCTATTCAACGATTCAAATGGTTCGCTGGACTCTGTGGAAGCAATATCAACAAAAACTGGTTTTGCAAATGGATTTCATCCGTCAAAGTCGATAACAAATCATAATGGCGCTGGCGTCTATCGTAATATAAATTATGGCAATGGTAATAATATGCAGACGGTACACCGACGACGTTCGTTTTCAAACAAATTTACGAACGGTGGAAACTCTTTACCACCGACTCATATGAGATATAATTCCTCAGACAGCGAGTACCAGCAGCAACCATCAATAGATTCACATGAGAATTACACAGGAATCAACAATCGTTATCACCATTACAATAACCCAAGGTATAACGCTAGTAGTAATAGGGGTGGAATAGAAAATGGATTTGGCGCGAATTACACGCAACAACAACCATCTGTGCTGACAACTGCAGGCGGTGAGTTTGGCATACTTTTTGCATTCAATATTTGTTTCTTTGTCTGAAAGCATTGAAAACAAACTGTTATTTTCGAAATTTCAATTCAAGAAGTCAGGCGGAAAGAACAATGGTCGTTTATCTACTACTAGTCGACACTCGCTATAGGGGTATTTGTCTTAAGCCGCCATCGATTCTCCAACATTTAGGCCCCTATTGCGAGTGTCGACTGGCAGTAGAATAGAAATTTTTTATTTTGCTATTGTGTAACTAGATCGATAAAAATTTGTACTATTGTGTGAATGGTTGACTGAATTGTAATAAGCTGTTTGGTTGTTTACATTTGTTTCTTTAGTGTTTCATTTACATCACATTTTAAATAATTGCTTTTATTACAAAATTTAAAAAATTGATACAGCTTAAATATGGTTTAGTGATGAGGAAGATGATGTGGAAGCTAATAGATTAGTAGAGTTGTCTAAAGCAACAAAGGAGTTGGAAGATGAAGTGTATGTACATATGTGAATTTTATGAATAGGAGGAGTTACGTTCCAGATGCTTCACGGTTTGCAGGTTTTACAGGATTTGCAGGAAAAGCTGTTTTCCTCATTAATAATCCTTATGGAAGTTTAAGAAATACGGTAAGGTTTAGCTATTTGTACAATGATGTTGTGTATTTGTGTCCAAACGCGTGACCCGAGTTTAAAAACTTCAACATTCAAGTGTAGTGAAAGAATTAAACTTTAATTTAAAATACTTTTTATCCATTATAGTAACACTTTCTTATGGAAATTTTATAAACGCAAACTCCAACGACTAAAAAAGGCAATAGAAGGATGAGCGATTAAAAAGTATTCACATTCGCTAATTGAGCGACTAATAGGGAATTTACATGATTCAACTTTCACAGGCGATTAGTTGAACCAAAAGGTGAACGAAAGTAGGCAGCCGACCAACTTCATTGTAAGCGATTAGTTGAAAGGCCGTTTACACCAGGCGATTGTTGCTTTCAACTAAAAATCGCCTCATGTAAATTCCCTATAAGCGACACTCACAATAGCATCGATAATCGACAATCGCTTAATAGTCGTTTATCTACTGCCAGTCGACATTCGAAATAGGGGTGTTAGCAGTTGGCAAAACTAATAAAGTGCTCGAGCCCCCCCTAACTTTCAAATTTTCCTTATATATATATAAAATAGTACCCTGAAATGCCAGCTTATTAGGTTCGAGCCCCCCCTAAATTTCATTCTGGCTACGCCGATGAGTACATACAACCAAACTCGCCAAGGTTCGCCGCTGCTTGATAACTTTGTTGTTGCTTTTACACACAAATTTTTCGTTAAGCGACCGGAACTCGCATAGCGAGCAGAGAAGTGGCAAATCGAAGGCGACTTTTATGGGAAGGAATATTAAGGAACATTAATCTTAAATGATTTTTAAGTTTTTTTTTTATTATATTCAACAATTTATATTGAGCTCGAGGCCGTTTTGAATAAACATTTTATTGTGGAAAAGCAACATTTTTTCAAATTATTGTTGCTTTTCCACAATAAAATTTTCATTTAAAACGGCCTCGAGCTCAATATAAATTGTTGAATATAATTGTTATAAAGGCCAAAAAAAAAATAACAAAAACAAATAACTTAAGGACGAGCACACCTAAAAGTTAAACATTCTAAAAATAGAATTATTAGCAAAAACCAACAATACCAACACCACATGATCAAGTGAATTGCAGCGGAATAGCTGTGCTTTATTGTGTTGGCATAACAAAAATGAAAATAGTGGAAAAAAGCAAACGATAATTTACAAGTCGTACTTAGCACGGTGCATAGGCAACTGGCTGAGTCAGTGGGATCGTCGGTTCGAATCCTACTGAAAGAAGTCTGATGAGGAAATGTGGTGATTTCCGAAATAGCTATCACTTCTACAATTTTTTCAAATTATTGTTGCTTTTCCACAATAAAATTTTCATTTAAAACGGCCTCGAACTCAATATAAATTGTTGAATGTAATTGTTATAAAGGCAAAAAAAAAATAACAAAAACAAATAAAGTTTTTTTTATAAATTTTAAAATAAAGTTTATTTGATTTTTTTAACAATTTTATGCAGGTATTTTTTCAGCCAAAAACGCCAATTAAATTTTCACTTTTATTTTTTCAGTCTAATAGGCGGCATAAACGATGCGTCTGACTCGCGGGTCGGTTTGGATGTGTTAGTAAAAATAAATATGTGTTAGCTACACCGAAATGATTCTGGTATGACTCTGAATGACTCAACTGTTTGCAGTCATCAGGCGAGTCAACACGTACACAGTTGACTCGCGAGTCAGGCGTTCCATCTATGTTGCCTATAAAATAACAGTGAAAATTTGAGGTTAACTGCTATCAAAATTAAAACTCACAAAGGCATATGGAATGGCTCATAATTATGGCGGCAGCGTTTTTACCGCCGACGTTTTTCGTTTGATTTAAATTTACTTCTATTTTTACCGCCCAGCGCGGACGGTGCAATGTTGATTGTAGTAATTTCCATTATTTTCACAAGTTTTCCAATGTTTTCATAATATTTAATTGCCAACAAATTTACATACACGCACGTACCAAAAAAATATTTAATTTTAATGATAATTTTTAAATCAAAATGACAACTGACGGAAGCCATCGGGCGCCGCAATTGTGTTACTTTTGACACGAAAAATTTTATTTTAAATTTTAAATGTTACTTTTAACCGAAAAAATATAAGTATTAATATTCAATCGACAAAATCGGTGAAAAAATAACCACTATTTATCAGCTTTCTTGAAAAAAAGCACCACAGTTACAGTCTTTGATATTTATAGATTGAGGTCATGGATAGGCTAAGAACATTCAATTTTTGACGCAAGCGTTGTATTTCTGTTAGGAAAAGTATCCATTCTGCTTTAAATGGTTTTCTGATTTTTATAAAATCCAATGTTATTTAAAAGGAAACTTATATTATATATAGTTAAACAAACAGTTTTTAATACATATGTATTCCCATTTCTATATCTTCTGAAGAAATCATTTTGCCTCGGACACGAATTTTTACTGATATCTATTTATTTATTTATTTATTGACAGTCTTTAAAAGACCTATAAAAAATCTTGTCAATTACATTGTTAACTTATTTGATTGATTGCTCTTCTACTAATCCTATGGATTAATATATATTCATTCACGTATAATTACATTGGATTAGGACAAGTTATACATACTAATTTTTAAATACATACTTTATACATTTATACACATTAATTTATTGTACAATTAATTAATGAATTATATGTACATTACAAGCTCGGGTTGGGTTGCTGGCGAGGCCTAGTGTCCAGTCTATCTTTATGTCCAGCAAGCGGAAAGGCCTAATTTCCGCTCTGCGTCAATAAAGGCGTTTACAATGGTCGGAAAGGCCGAGTTTCCGATCCATGTTCTTTTCATAATTATGTTGCTGTGAAACGGGCGGAAAGATCAGCTTCCGCTCCGCACTGCGGATGAGCTGTTGGGCATGGTCGGAAAGCCCGAGTTTCGGATCCATGCTCGTAATGTCTCTCATATGATAGTTTTTTGTTAGAATGGGGAGGCCCAATGGCAGTCTTATATGTGTTTTTTGCAATGCTCGTATAATAAACTTTTGAATTTTTGAAAGCTATTGCAGCTTCTCTCATATCTACGGGCAGTTCGTTAAACCTTTATAGTACAAATCTCTCTTTTGATTTCCCGTCTGACAAAATGGAAGTTTAAAGTTGTCCCTGACTATGGTTTCATAGGTGTGAGTTTCACTGCTGTACCTAAAGTTATCACTCAAGTATGTCGGAAGGGCTCCATTATTTATATTATAAATAAACTTCATTGTAAAAAAAGAATCGTTTTTTCACATTTAGCCAGTATAAATTGTTCAGCATTGATGAAATGCTGGTATCGTATCGTGCATTAAGTATGTGCCTCATAGCTCTATTTTGCATTTTTTTGTAGCATCTCTATATACGTCTCAGGTGTTATAAACAGGATAGTGGGGCAGTATATAAAATGTGGCTCAATAATTGATCTGTAAACCATAATTTTATATCTTCTACTTAGATGTTTACATGTCCTTTTCATAAATCCATAAATCTCAATGTTATCATGGAATTTTAATTTTTTATCAATTAGAACAGCAAGATATTCCATAAAGTTGTAAAATTTCATCGTTAATATTTGTATATAATATTTTAACCCTCTAACTGGCATTTTTAATGAACTTCATCGATCTTCTTCCAAATAAGCTAAGTGGCCAAATTGCTCCCCACAAATAAGTATCGCTGAATTTTATAATGAAAAAGTAAGAATAAAAAAAATTACAGTATCGGTAGCGAAAATTTTATGATTTCATTTATAATCATTTATTATATTATTGCATAATGCGCCATATTTTTTGATTAAACCAATTTCAAAAATAGCAGCCTCTAGATCAAATTTGTAAATTTACGCTGATAACTTTCTCTTAAAGTGAAGACACTTCACTACTTCAATTGCAACGTATTCCCCCGCTACGCATCAAAGTGTACAGCATCGCCACAGCACTTAACGCCATAAACACTCAGGCGACTATCGGCTCAATCCTAACCGCCCTGTGAGAGAACTGTCCTAGTACCATTGGGGTTGTCGAATGCCTTCGACACCGTTTGTTTCCACGCTGCTGTAGAAAAGTGAGACGACCAGTCGTCATTAAATCTTTCGGGATATCTTTGCTTGATCTTTTTCTCCGCGCTTACAGTTTCAATTGTTAATAAAATACAGAGTCGCAACAAGGTGCTGAAATCTCTCTCGTCGGCAGCACTTAGGCTAATAAAAAAAAAAATAAAAATATTCCGACGAACTGATAACCAACCTCCTCCTTTTTTTGAAGTCGGTTAAAAATAAAGGTGTTGGCAACTTACAAGGTATTTTGACTGGCCTGTTTTGTTCTAAATTACGATGTGCCTGTTTTGTCACCGGGGACTTAAAAGACGAAGT